AAAGTTTAAATAGTTTTCTTGAAGAATTGGCTTAAAGCTAATTAAACAAACAACAACCGAGCATTTCAGACTGTAATTACGGTTGTAATTTTCCAATCTCTAAATAATCATATATCAATCAATTACTATGCCACTGTATCAGTCACTAGATCAGTAAATCGATTCAATCAATCAGTCATTCAATGAGTAAGTCAATCAGTCACTAGGTCATTAGGTCGATCCAGTCAATCAGTCATCTATCAGTCGCGTCCAATAATCCATCTATCAATCTACCCTAAATCAGGTAGTCAGTCAGTTAATCAGTCATCCCATCAATCAGTCTTTAAGCCAGTCAGTCAATCTATCAGTCAACCGTTAGATAATCAATGCAACTGTCAAACAGTCGTTCAGCTAATCTAGTCTATCAACCAACCTGTCAGTCAATCCATCAGTCATGCAATCAATTAAATACTCATATTCTGTTTAACGCAGATTACGGACTACTTCATCTCGGTGATTGAGGACACCCTGAGCGATCTGGCCGGCGGGGAGCCAAGCGTGCTGCAGGCTCGCATTGCTGGCCTAACGCTGGAGAACGAGCGGCTCAAGCAGCACTACGAACGGCAGATGGCGGAAATGCAACGTTCGACAGATGTGCTGATCGCCGAGATGCGCAAGACCATGGAGCAGGAGAACAAGCGGGTGATCAGCGAGCTGCGACAGCACAGCACTCTGGAGCGAATGCGTGCGGTGGAGGAGGCTAAGAAGAAGCAATGGTGCGCGAATTGCATGCGCGAGGCACAGCTGTATTGCTGCTGGAATACGTCGTACTGTGACTATCCCTGCCAGCAAATGCACTGGCAGCGACACTCGGCCAGCTGCGGCCAGGCGGCCACACTACAGACGCAATCGCAGGCGGATGCGGGGCGTGGCAAGCACAAGCAGGTGACCAGCACAGCGCCAAATCCCAGCCAGCAGCAGCAGCTGAATAGAGCGAACACTGTGGGCAACGCCAACAAAAAGTGGACGCATCAGTCAATGATATCGTTGGTGAATCCCACGCCGCCCGCCACCGAGGTGCTCAAATTGCCCAACAACACATTTCTGCGGCCGGTCTCGCTGCCCTCAACAATGCCCTCTGCCAACACCGGCAGCATTGTTAGCCCAGTCACCCTCATAGCGCCCTCCACATCCACACATCTGCAGAACACCATCATGACGGGTCAGCGAAATAACATGAGCTACGGTGCCAAGCAACCGCAGCCCATTGCCGTGCAGCGGTATAATATACCCGTGAGTTTAAACTATTCTAGTTGAAATTCCTTAATTAATGGAGTGTTTGTCTTTCGTAGCTGCCCATCACAGTCAGCAGCAATGCGCCCTTCGGGCACATAACGGAGCAGCATCAGAAGCATGTGGCCAAGTCCACGGGCCGCAGTTCCCTCAAGAACAGCAGTCGTGCTCGCAATCCCAACAATCCCGTTAACAATAACAGCAACAATTCAAACGCCCAGGTCTTGCGTCACAACCAAATCAATCACGTTTTTCAGCAGTGAGTTCCAATGTTTTTAGAAGGGTATATAAGTACAAATGTATGCAAAAGCCGGAAGGAAGCATATACGACCCGATAAAACATATATCAGCTCGATGTCTGTCTGACATATTTTTTTATATTTTTTCTATAAACATACACGGCATTTAGTAGACAGACCCACTTTCTAGGAACCACCCTCCATAACACCCAAAATCAGATACCTGACATTTTCAAAGGTACCATATGTGAGCCCTGGAAATTAAATCAAGATGAGACTTCAAACACCGTAGCTAATTAAGATTGCATTTTTCCGTAAATAGTGTAGAGCAAATGGAAGAAAGAGCAACACCGCTGCTCACTCAATTCGGATTACCTTTATCATATAAAATTAAATTGAGTAAGAAAATATCAGCGTAGACCTTCTATATCCTATAGCTGAAGAACTGGGAGGTTTCTTTTTTATGCAAATTCTTGCTTTCCAATTATTCGGTTTGTGATATTAAACAAAGATCAGGAATCCATCGGCTAGGCTAAAACCTGTTCTACTTAGAACTTACACTAATAAAATACTACTAAAATGATACTAAAACTAAATTAATTTTCAGGTGACTTTCCTAAAGTGAAGATCTTGGATCTCGTCGCAAGCTGAAACTGGCGCAAAACTGTATAAAATTCACAGAATGTTTTAACCACATTTACAATAATAGATAATTAGTTGTTTAGGATGTAAGAACGCTACGCGACATTTATTATATTGACATATATATATATATATATTGTTAGTTTTAATCAGGCTCACATAGCACGTAAATTATGATTAACCATAAGATGGACTTTATAATAATTTACTGTTGCCGCAAGCGGGCAACTACATTTTAGTTCTTAGTAGTTTATAAGATCATCTATCTATCAGACGTCAAACCCATTCGAAAGCATGTGTACATTCATTCTATGTATCAAGGCATCAAAATATCTTGAAATATTTTACTGAACTTACTATATATAGCTCTAAGCTGAATGAAATGAAGACATGTTCCAATCGATCATTTAAAAGAATAAATTAATTACTACTTTAAGACAACTTTATTGTTAGCTAAAAAACACCAAGATTCAGAAAACAAAAAACAAAATAATTGTATTATCTTATTATTAATCTATATCCAATTTCTTAAAGTTACCCTCGATGCCGAACAGACTTGAGACGTTCTTTGGCTTGCCAGGTCTCAACTTTTCGTTTACCTGATGGCGTGTCTCAAATTCAAGCATTTGCTTTCGATTGTCCATTAATTTCTTATAGTATATATCTGTTTAAGAAAATGTATTAGATATAAATATAATTTTATTTTTAGTATTTGTGTAGTCTTACCCCTCAACACCTTGGCCTCGTCGAGTGGTCCACCATAGTCCTGCGGCAACAGCTCGCGCGGCACAAATTTATAGAACTCGTTCATATCGCTGTGCAAATATAGGATGCTGGTTAATTCCTTATTCATGAATGGACTCATCAACGCCAGTATCTTGTCCATAAAGGGCACAATGTTGATAAAATGGAAACCGATCAGCTTTATGGCAGCCGCTTCCTAAGATATGGGTAAATATATTAAATGAAAGATTTTATGTATGTTAACAAATTTTCATAACAAGGTTTTGTGTCGAGGTATTTGTAAAAAGCATGGATGCCACCTAAGGGCCAAATGGCTCTTAATTAATTATTATTTTATTACAAATTTAATGCAATTTAATACAGTTGTTCCCTACAATTCTAATGCAACATATCAGGGCTATCCTTTTAGCGGAAAAGTATGCAGTAGAAATGAATAATTGTGAATCTCAGTTGCAGCGCAAAAGTGTGCAACAGTCTCTCGGTGCCAGACAATGCTATTCTTATAGATGCATTTTATTTAAACTCAAAATCAAAACGATTTGTTTTTACGGTCTTAGAAGTCGATTGTTCGCCTTGATACATAGATATATCAAATATGTGACATTTAATTTGCAACCAACCTGTACATAGAAAAGGAACTTTTTCATCTGAAGCAAACCGATGCGCGCCACATGACCCAAGGAGCAGCCTTTGAGGTCAATAACAATCACATGTCCCGGCTGTATGCCATCCTCGCACATCCAATAATCGAAAACCATGCAGTAGCTGGAATATATGAGTTTTCTCGGTTTAATTCTCGGCAATTGCATTATTTTCGTTACTAAACAATAATAATTTAATAACTAGTCATTAAACAGTAGATTGTTTTTTTTTATTTTATGCATCTGTCAATATGTATCTGTAGTTTTAACTGTACATGTGTTTGTATCTGTATCTGAATCTCTTACTATATCTGTATCTGTATCTGAATTTCTTACTGTACCTGTATCTGAATCTGTGCCAGCATATGTATCTGTATTTGTATCTCTTACTGTATCTGAATCTGTGCCTGGTCGTGTAATGAGTTGTGCGTTTTTTTTTTTTTTTTGTTTTGTTTTTTGATTTGTTGCTCTGACGTTTTCACCAGCTACTGACTTTAAGCACTTTGATCTTTGGATCCCATGTATTAAACCCTTTTTTTTACATGTCATAATTATGGCTGACAATACTCGAAATTGACTTGTCGCAACACGTAGCCCACTAGCAGTTGTTATTAGCACTTATGAATGCTATTGAACATTTCAGATGTCAGTCATACAAATAATTAAACTTTAAGAAACATACTTAAACTAAACGGAAACCTAATGACAGTGCTATTACTTTTTGCTAGCATCAAAATTGTTTATTTTTTTCTTTAATTTTTTAATTGCATTTAATTAATATATATATATTTTGCACTGTAAGCTGTTGACGCAAACCGAAATGCTGCGAAACCCTCAGAACCTGAAAATAACCAGTTCCTAATTTTATTTGCTGGTTTACTGAGTGGACCAAATGCAAATTACATGCCGCAGAAATTTAAATTTATAAGAATACAATTTTTTGATCCAAAAAGGCATTCAAAGTAAATAACCGTCCGCTTGTGGGAGCTACCATTTCGCGTATATCCGCGTCATGTTTAGCTTCGTCGTTTAACCAACTGATCCACAGAGAAGAAAATATGTATGTACGACCCAATAAAGAATCTATAATCATGGTCGGGATATAGCGGAGTCCGTCTGTTAAAACTACTTTCTCTGTTTCTATCTAGATCGAAATATAAAAGATATTCAATACGAAATCGGAGCCACCGAATCGCAGCACTATATCTTATAGCCCTCATGGGAATGATCAGTCAAAAGATTTGTTTTTGTACGAAAAACTTGCTGATTTTGTCTAGAAATAATATAAAAATCTTATGAACAACAGGCTGCAATATCACATACCCCCTATGGGTACAATCGGTCGATATTAGAGTTTTTCCATTTCATCTGGTTATTTGATAGAGTATTAAATGTTTGGCAATTCTTCTCCTACTTACAGTTTCATGATATCCGCATAATTGAAATTGGATGCATTCGTATCCTCCAGCTTGCCCACAATGACGCGATAACCCTCTGGCGTAGCGGCTGGCAATGGAACTATGGACCTGCAAATGATAACTAGGTAATACTGGAGGAGACAATAGTCAAATCCGTGTCAAAAACTTACACCGTTTTCATGGCACGCTTCAGTTCGTTGCTCTCAATGTCCAGATTTACAAAGAAGTCGTCCAGGTGAGTGCGTGCCGTCAGATTTGTGTCTAGCACCTGTTTGGCCATTTCCATGCTGCATTTGCAGGCGTGGAAAAAGTGCAGCGCCTCCTCCTCGGAAAACTGGGCGGAGATGTGCGGCTGGGCATGTATCCAATCGACAAACTTTTGCATCTCCTCGCGCTTTATTTGCGGAAAGCGAGCATATTGCTTATCCAGATCCGCAAACTTCATCTTTCGGTTTTGTATGTTTCGATTCAAATGATTTCTGAAAATCTGATTTTCTTCAGATTCTTCTATCTAGGGAGCTGCGTAATCCGTTCGCAACGTTCGACACTCGAATGAAATTGAAATTAAAACTGTTTTTGCTTTCGCAAAATACGAAACTGGTTGCGCGTTCGCGCTGCCGCCGCCGCACAGTGGGGCCTTAGACCGAAATCTTGGCAAAAATTAAAAGTTATACATATACTCAAATTAAAAATAACCACTTAGTTTAATTTATTTAAATATTTTAAAATTTTATTTTATTAAAAATAGCTTTTAAATTTTGGCATATCTGCGCGTCATACAGAAGCTTGAACAAAAACTTTTGATACACTCTGTAAACTATGCACCCTGTGTGATCATTGATTTTATTTGAGAATTTTCTGTTATCTATTTTCTATTTCTATTTTTTAAGCAATAACAATATATTGTTTAAATTGGAATCCATGATTTTTGCCACGAAAAATGTCAAAAGGTCCCACTGTACGTCTCTGCCGCTATTTGGCAAATTCGTTTTTCCATTTTCCCCTGCTGTTTGGAAAAGTGCAACTGGCTTTTGCTAGACGCCTGCTCATTTCACTTGCGTGAAAATTCAGGTTTTGCTGTTTTTTCATCATTGCAACTATTATTTTTATTATTATTTTTGGCTTGCGCAATATCTGTCAGTTGGCTCTGGAGTTGGGGGGCGTACGTCTGAGCTATCCCACAGCTGTTATTATTTATCATGAACCCCATTATAAACGCGTGCTTTGAGCTGCTCTTGGGCCTCGTTCAGTTTTGAAAACATGTTACGGTTGAGTGCATAAGCTAAGGCATGACAGAAAAGGGTTCATGTCGTTAAATTCCAATATTAATATTATCTCATCTATTTACAGTTTTAATACATTTTTCTTTTGTTTGAAAAGTCACATATATAATCCAACCGTTGACTGCTAGGGGTTTAAGCTTCAAATTTAAGAATCGTATTTTTAACCATGGTCCTTCTTTGCGATTCTCAGGAATTCAAGTAAGCATTGCAGATGTTCATGCTTGTGCTAAAAGTATTTCATTGTTTTGTATAGACATTTGTGTTTTAATATATGTACATATGTAGCCAAGTGTGTAGATATGTACGAATGAATGAATGCATGCATGTATACACATACTTGGGTTGGAATACATGTTTCTTTTGTATGTTGTTACCTTCCTCTGCGATTCTCATAAAATTGTGGTAAGCCCTACGGGCTTAAAGGCTCGATTATAAGTGTTTCCGTGTTGCACTAATAAACTTTTTCTCTGCTAATTTGCACACTCTCTTTTTGCTTCTCTCTCTCTTTCTCCCTATCTCTGCCCTCTCTCTCTGCCCTTCTCTCTCAATCTGTCTGTCGCCCGCTTCATTCCTCTCATTTCTCCAACCCTTCCTCTACTTTTGCTCCATATGCACTTCCATACATCGTCGTCCGTCAATATAATGAATGTATGTATGTAAGTATATATGTCAAAGCTATTTAGAGCTGTGCAGTATGTATCTCCTAGTAAGTCCATAAATTGTAAACGGGGTATAAAAAAGTAAGCAACGGACAGAGGAAAATACAAATTCCAAAAGCCATTATTGAGTTTATGTGGGCATATGCTTAAACAATATTTTAACCTTAGCCAACTCTTCAGACAAACACGTTGATCTCAGAGAGCAAGAGCTAGCAAATTTGGTATTTGGGTTTATATTAACATTTTCCAAAGGCCAAAACCCAATTGCATGGGCACTTTCCATGCATGTTCCCAGTTCTGTCAGACAATCTTTTGACATTTTGCCAGCAGACGTTTAAGCAGCCAATGCCAGCAAGCCACCATGCCACCATGCCACCATGCCACCATGCCACCCAGCCACCATGCCACAAGTAGACAGCTACTTGAGGCGGTTGCAGCAGCAGCTTCAACGGGCTGAACCTGTCGCTGGCACAGTCTGTATCTGCGACTGTAACAGTGTCTAACGTCAGTCTGTGTGCCAGTTTGGCGTGTCTGAAATTCCAGCGGATTAGAAGTTGCGCGTAAAGAGCAAACGGCATTTGCAACCAATGGGGGCAACAACAGCAGCCGCGTGAGCAACCAGTTTTGCAACGGATGGGGCCTTGCTGATTCTGGGATCGCGGCACAGGTGCCAGCTATAATATGTAGGTGCCCAGCCAAAATTAATTACCACACTTCGCTTGGGTTTAGGGGGCGGGGAGGGGCAAGTGGCCTTAGAGGTAAGCCCCCCTTTGACTTGTGACTGACATGAGTCACTTTTGTTGCTACCAGCAACTCGCCTGACCCCAAAAACCAATTGCAGGAATGTGCGCAGACAACGATGACAACATCACTTGCTATACCCTATACGCATTGAAAGTGTTTAAGACTTGGGGTATGATCGTTTTGTACATGATGTATGTGACATACAGAATGTATGCATATTCTTGATTGGCAGCAGCATCTAAATCGATTAAACCAAAGCCATCTATTCGTTCCCGGTATCTTTAAATCTAGAGATACAGTGAGAAATTTAAATGAAATCGATAAATATCGATTTGCTGCCGTTGTTTTTTGTACATATCTCATATATTTCAAGAGCATAAAGATCGCACAATAAACACAGGGAATAAAATAATAATAAAGTTATGTTAAAGAAAGAAGAAATCCATTTGGAATCAACTCGCAGCTATCTACAGGGTATCTCAGAGTCAGGCAACCGACTAGCAGCTGCTGTTGTTGTGGTTGTTGCCGGCAACGTGTCTCGTTTCATGTTGCCGTCACGCAGCGGATCCTACAAGGCACCTCCTTTTTTTGGGCTTGGCTTTTGGGCTGCGCGCATGAGCGCACGCTGTTGTCCTCCTTTTTAGATCAGAGACCGCGCTGCGAATCCGCCCGCAGCTCCTCCTGTTGCCCATGCAAATTACGGATTGTTGTTCGTTTTCTTTGCTCTTTTTGATATATTTCACGCATTTGACTGCATTACTTAACCTCAATTTGCCTGACGACGTGCCGCATGTTGCCCACCGCTGCCCCTGCCCCTCCCCTGCAGCTGCCCCGTGCTGCTGTTTCCGTTGTATGCCCCAGCTCTGGCATTGGCGACAAATGAAGTTGTCGCTTTGAGCACGCCCGCCTCCTACCCGCCGGTCACTTGTAAATGCTGTCCAGTTACTTTGGCCACTGGTTTTGCATTTCTCAACAATTGTTGCCGACTGCAGCGGATCCTGCCTGTCCGCGCCGCTGCCCCCGCCGCACTCCATTTCAATTGGCGCGGCGACCTGTCTGACTCATTTGTATGGGTTGCCCTACGTGGGGCTCCGCTGGCTCCCTGCCAGCTGCACTTGTGTGCCGCGCCTGCTGCTGCTGCTGCTGCTGCTGCTGCTGCTGCTGCTGCTGCTGCTGCTGCTGCCACGCTTTTGCCGCTCGCCGGCAACAAACTAAAAAAAAAACGAAGCAGTGAAGAGTGTTCCAGTCGAGACTGCCCGACTAGGAGATACCCTGAACCCAGCTCCAATCTGACGTTATATACCATCCAGCTTTCTTCTTTACAAAGGCCACACTCATGTTGCTGTTGTGCTTCTTCTTCCCCCCGCCCTTCTCTATGCATGGAAAATGCGTTTCTGGTTATCTTCGGTTCTTATAGTCCGATCTTACAGAAACTTTCAGGTCTTCAAAATGCCATTTGAAATTTTAGAATGGGCAACATTCATTACCTTCTTCCAGAATCTCTAGTATATATATACTCTTAATACTCGCCAGTTTTGATTGATGTGGAAATATCTAGATCGATTTTGCGCGTCTTTCTGATCAAATATATATATGAACGTTATGTATATACTCGGCTACAGACATATGCACAAAACTATTATGTCCTCGTTTGGCCACTTTTAATGGTCTACAGGGTATGTAAGTTTTGATTCTGATTCCGATTGACCGCTTGCCGCACGTTAAGCCACCTCCCCTTCATACCCCGTACCACGCAACCCATCCGCCCGCTGCTCTTTGGGAACGAAACTCGTTTGAGCCACATTTTGTGACTTTTTCTGTTATTTTAGCGGTTTTTGTTTTGATTTCTGATTGCCGTTTCAAGCGTCTTTTTTTGTTCGCTCTTCGCCCGTCTTTGTTGTTGTTATTGTTGTTGTTGTTGTTGTTGTTGTTACTGCTGTTATTCGCTTTTATTTACAGTGGCAAGTGCCGCTTGACAAATTGATTTTGATTTGTTGGTTTTTTGTTTTTGTGTTAGTTTTTGTCTTATTTGCCATTTCCTTTAGCTTGAGGTTAAATTTATAACTTCTACCAATTTGTGAAGTTTAAGCTAACGCTTTGGGCAAAAACTTAAAGAGTAAATAATAAAATAAAATAATAATAATCATAATCAAAATGAAGTAAAAGCTGAACATCCAAAATATATTTTTGATAGTTCAGTTGAGGGATTTGTTGGGCTTGCAAACTTCATATGTATGTATATAGTACATGATATTTTCTGTTTAATATTTTAGTTTTTTAACATTTGTAAATTTCACATATTTCTAGTACTTACAATTTTTTTGCGAAAAATAAAACTCTTTTGTGCTCAGGATTAGGTTTGGATTTATAGTAAACAAGCAAGAGGTTCTAGTCGGGAGCTTCCGACTAGGGGATACACTTCCAACATCAAATGCATATATACATTCTATTTTAGAACCTATGTTAAGTTTGGTGACTCTAGCTCTTATTATTTACCAAAATTGTCAAAAAAACAGGATATGGATCTCTACCTCTTATAAATTCTGAGATCCGTTGCGTTCATACATACGGACAGATGGACGGACGGACAAACGGACAGACAGACAGACGGACATGGCTAGATCGACTCGGCTGTTGGTGCTAATCAGGAATATATATACTTTATGGGGTCGGAGATGCTTCCTTCTGCCTGTTACATACATTTGGATTTTGCATAAATACAATATACCCTTATACCCATTTATTGAAAAACGAGCACAAATTATTGCAATTCAAAGCCGAATTGCAGACTTAAAATGAATCATAATATTATTTAAATTTATATATCAAATATCATTTTAAAATGCAACTCCTCAGCTGTAAACGTCAATTAGTTTTTACGCCCAGCGGAAATTGTCCGCTCAACACACCCTGTAAAAAGAGCAACAAAAACAACAACAAGAGTTAAACAATTAAGTTTATAGTTTGTTGGCAACAGGCAATCAAATTAGAAACCAAACAAAACTAGCAACAGTTGAATGCTCTCTCGCATGGGGTTAAAGCCAAATCGACAGAAATAAAGCGAAGTTAAAATAATAAAAAAAATAAATAAAGCCCGTGCATTTACACGGTCGTTGGCATCCTGTTTCACGCAAGACCAAGCAACAGGATGCTCAGGAAATTAATGCCCAACACTCAAAAAAATAAAATTATAAATAAACGTGAGCGAGGGTCGCTCAGGAGCAACAATAGCGCCAATTGCCACTCAGATTGACAACAAAGAAACAAAACAAAAAAAAAACAAGCCAGCGCTGACCGACTTGTATATACCCGCACCCAATTCGAATGGAAAATAGATATTCAAAATGTATTCCAAAAAGTATGTTTTATAGCGTCTGCAATATCGATGGGAATATCAAAGTGAGCATTCGAGCTTGGATCCTATATTTTCTCAGTACGACAAAGCTATGGAAACTGTTCCCTTATTCTCTTCTTCTCTTTGGAGACTCTCAATTCAGTTAAAGTCACTTAAATTTATACTAAGGAATTATTTAAATTGATTTTTGGGCTACTATAAACTTTCTTTTATTGCTTATTATAAATTATTATCCTATTTATTCAATAAATTTAATAATACTATTAGCTTTTTTTAAAGAATCAATTTAAATACAGTTTATGATATATTTTAACAAATAAAAAAATGTAGAAAATATAGTATCGAAAAATAATTTAAAATAAGAATTATCAATTTATTATAAAAATATTGCATTGTTAATATAAACATTTAATTTGAATATCTAATTTTGATTAATATCAGAAAGTATATTAAATAAAACTTGTTTTTATTTCTGATATGATCAAAAACTAAAAATTTAATTTAAATGTTTCAATATTAATAATATTTTCTTTTAATTTTTTGTATTTTACATTACAGACTTTCAACTCAAAAATTAATCGAGCTGCTATTTTGTGTTAGTTTCCGAGCTGTGAGCACAAGCCTTAGCTACCCCATATGCAATGCGGGTGCAGGTATCAGATATGTCGGCACAACGAAAGCCCAGCCGATTCGACTGTAACGTACCGGGAATGGGAATGGCGGGCATTGAGACCGAGACAAAGGGAAGAGCCCAGCGAGCGAGTGATAAAGCGACCTTTTAGGGGAGCCTATGAGGATCACAAAAGACGTTGAAGAAACGCGAGGCGAAACGAAGAAGAGGCAAAAAGCATTAACGCATTTTGAAATAATTGAAACGGCAGTCAGGACGAAAGTCAGCCGCAGACTCGAAGTCATAGTCAGAGTCAGAGTCGGAGTCGGGAGAACGGAGACGGGACTCAGGGTCTGTTGTGGCATGGCAAACAAAGGGCATGGCCAGCGTTTGTTTGTGCGCAGCGGTGCGTCGCCGAAATCCTTGAGACGTGCAGCAGATACACCTGATGATGACTACACCGACACCTGAGCCATTGCCAGCCAGCTAACCTCAGCGTGCCTCGAGAGGCACACTGGAAAAGAAATGATAATTAGATGGTCTAGCAACCCTCCTAGCCAGCTGCTGAGACAGGTAAGCAATTGATGGTGGTTCCTTGCTGGTTCTCGGTGGTGGAATCACAGTGTCTTTGCGAGTGTGAAGCGATCGTTTGAATATTTAAATGTTGTCGTCGTCGTCAGGGGTGGTTTGGCAGTGGTGCCGCAGGAAGAACGCCAGCAAGATGCAACACGCCACATCGCGTCGCGGCACGTCAAGTGCAAAGTCCTAAGCGGATGCGCTTGAGCTGATTGCGACCGTTAGCGAAGGCCTAGACGGCGCCCTAATTAGTGGCAGCAGCAGTTGCTGCATAAGCCCAAGAATTGCATATATCCGCATATATACACTCAGAAAAATAACCAAGCATTTGCTACCAAATGAAGTACAAATATGGTTGAAAGCAGTCAAGGTTGACTTTAATTATTTCCAGAATTTTTTACCGGGCATCTAAAATTACGAAACTTTAAAAATCTCTATAAATAATTTCGATTAAATCTGTGAAGAAATTAAAACAAATTTAGATTCACTCTCTTCAAATATACAAATTCTTTATAAAGAAGATAATGACCATTTTATTTCGTAAATTGAAAAGATCTGCGCTTAATCTAAGAAATTTAGTACTTCCATTCAAAACTATAAAAGCTAATTTTAAGTTTGTCAGCTTTAGTATTTATTATTCGAAATAAGTCCAAGTGCTTTTTAACATTTTTTTTTTAAAATATGGTACATCAGTAATCAGTCATATATTATTTTTTTCTTAATTAAAATTATTTAAATTAAAGTAATATAAAATACATTTAAGTAATATATATCATTTATTTGTACTGCTAACGTGGAGACTGATAATATCTTATTTAGTCATACTTGACTTTAGAATATCTATTTTCTCTAGGTGTACTTTTATCTAGATATCAACATAATTATTAATTCAATATTTCCTGCACTTTTGCCCCAATTTTGATCCTCTCTCTCTCTCTCTCTCTCTCTTTCTCTCTAGCTGCGCCAGCAGAGGGGAAGCGAACACTTGACAGCAGAAACAAAGTGCAGAAGGACCAGAAAACCAGAACTGAAATGCGATTGTCGCAATCCCTATCGTGGGAGGGGGGGTGCTGGGGGTCTTAAGGCAGCGACAGCAGGGGTATGTCGGCATGGCGACTGGCAATTATGAGTCCAATGCCGGATGGTGAAATTATATTGTACAAAAATTGGGAGCAGAAGAGAAAGCATTAAGGAAACAAAACGCAGCGAGAGACCCGCTCAAGATTTAAGTGGTGCCCCACAGTCAGGAGCCAGTCGCCAAGTGTTGAAGGCGAGTGAGTGGCATGCATAAAGGAAACTGACAATTGATACATTCATAAAACTACATAACTACACACACACACACACACACATCCACAGGGAAAGAGAGAGAGAGCGAGATATGTGCATATTAATTTAAATGAAGAAAAAGTGGAAATTATCCGCTTGATAGATGCCAGGCAATTAAGAAGGAAGAAAGGGAAGCTGAATTGAACAAATGTGCCCATCAATTCACTTTCCCATTCAAAGGACCCGCACAATCGCACTAATAAACATACAAAACCAAAAGGAACCACATTTATGGGTAAGAGAACAAAAGAGTTACATATATATTAGTGCTAAAAAAAGAAATGAATTAATTACACAACATGAAGTATTGCAGTGCTTTTATCATTAAGAACTTTCAGTTTATCCAAGTTTCTCTATTTCTGTTTTAAGTACAAACTCTTAAGCCTTTCATACCTGTGAATAGTATTCAATAATAATTCCGTATTCCGAAGGATTCATCATTAGGAACTTTCAGTTCTTCCTAAGTTGTCTATTTCTGTTATAAGCACAAACTCTTCCATTCCTTTAGAACTGAATAATCTTCATTTAAATGTTCAGATATATCTTTATTTAAAATATAGCCCTAATAATTGGTTTTTTTAGATAATCACAAGCCATTTCACAGGAATAACAATATATGAAATATTCGGAATGCCGAAGTTTTAATACTCTTGAAGATATTTATCAGATTTGTATGAAACTCAATTTTCCACTGATCCTTCCTCTAGAAATTAAAGTTATTGTGAGTCTGATTACGATAACAAGTTCAGCCTATATCTTCTTATATAACATTATTCGCTTTTGTAGAGTTTCATTATGAGTTTGGTTATTGTATGCTCCGAGCTTGGCTAGAATATTAAAATGTACATTTCATAATGATTGTTCATATTGGATTCCAATATATTTTACTCCCAGGTTGATAAGATTTGGCAAATCTTTTTAGATCATATTTAAACTCGTAATTGCTGAGAAGAATAAACAGATGTTTTTATCTATCCGTTTCATTAGCTTCTGTATGATATTTTAGTCTCATCAGAAACCAGAATCTGAAATATGCAGGATTAATATTAGAATAATATTCTAAAATGTATTCTGCAAAATTTTTCTTTCACACAACTATTTGGCCTTAAAGCCCCTTAAAGTACATCAGGTCTGGCAGTAGGGGTTGACATATCAGATCAACTTGGATAATTTTAAGAACTGCTCGTGAATGCCAGATGGATGCGCAGCTGGCGAGCTTTCCATGGAATTCTATGCAGCGACAAATCCCAGGGCCAAATGGAATGTGCGCTCTGTGCTGGAGCTGGCAGCGCCTCGGGCTTGGGGGTATCCATATCCATTAACATTGTAACGCTTTGTGCTTTCGTTTCGTCCGTGATGCGCCGCTGCCCCGGGCCCCGGGCCCTGCCCCTGCCACTGCCTCACACTCGGATGCTTTTGTAGTTGCGCTTGGACACAATCTAGGCGCGCTTGCTCACACATGTGTGTGGAAAAAGAGGAGCAGAGAGAGAGAGAGAGAGAGAGAGAGAGAGAGAGAGTGCTACATGCGGCTAGGTTCGTTGAACTTCTCGGCTGTTGATTTGCGCCTAGTTTCTGGACGCAATTGCCGCTCAGTCCAAATCGGGGGTTAGATTCTTATTTTCCTGCTGCTGAGGATGATAAATAATGAGACGATCTTCCTCACGCTCTCTCTCTCTCTCTCTTTGAAAGTACACACAATGAAAATCTGTTAATCACATCATTTCACACCCCCTCCAGCCTCAGTCTCAGTCCCTGTCTCAGTCTCTGTCTCAGTCTCAGCTCCAGTCGCAGTCCCAGTTTCAGCTCCATTCTCAATCTTTTGTTGCCGACTGTGAAGATTCGTTGACTCAGGGAGTTGTTCTCAGGGCTTGCCATAGCTGGTGCAATCTCTTATAGAACTCATCTGTTTTTACTTATTGCAATCATTCGTTTGACCTAAATCAGCTGGAGAAGATGTTCCCGAAAACACTTTTTCAATTTACATTTCGTCGAGACTGGCTAGTCAAAAGCTACACAAATTATCTAAAACAAATTTTATGCTAGTTTATTTTTAGTTTAGTATTTCTTGAAATTGAAAGAAAAAATGCCATAATTTCGCTCGCTATAACTATTTGAATAGGAACTTATCGCTGGATTATGCTCTAAATAAGTAAATACTAAATAAGTAAATAAATCTCAGGATCACTAACTAAAACTACATCCTTCTATGAATACTTGACATCTATGCAATTCTTAAACAAGACGGATGATAATTTACCATATAACAGAGCTTCCTTCTTTTGATATTATCAAGTTGTCTTTAAACAGATTTCAAAGATCTGAAAAGAAACTCTCAAGAACTAAAATCCTTATTTTACCGAATATAATCTACAGAAGTTCTCTCTTAAAGTCTACTCACTATTTCTTAGGATCAAAAGAAAACTGTTCAAGAAGTTTGCATAATTTCTACAAAATTTTGTCATAGCTACTCGCATAGATCTTATCATAGGAACCTCTCGGTCGTTGACTAAATTACGTAGTTTAAAACCAGTGAAGCAGGGAAATTTTCGTTTGCTTCGTGGAAAATGCACGTGCATAACGTTAAGACAATTTTCTTGGTCCGCCAAAGGGCGTGGCCCTCCTACATAGTATATATACACACAATATATATATATATATATGTACAATAGGGTAAATAGATGAGCTCATTTATAAATTTCAATAATGCGAGGAGGCGCATGTGGAGGCATGTGCAACCCTCAGTTGAAAAGTCAGCGGCGCATGCACCGTTTTAATTGTTGCTGTCCAGGGGCACGAATTTGTCGGGGTGTGTTTCGCGGATGTTGTTATTGTTGCTGTTGTTGTTGCTGTTGCTATTATGAGCTTCACAAGGACATGGTCATGAATCCCACATAATATTTGCATCTCATTTCCGGACACTTGGGCGCAAATGCGAGGGTCCGGCCCGGCCCGGCCCATGGTCCAATGTGCGGGCATTCAACATGCCCAGACTAGTATTTGAAACGGAAATGCCCACACTCACAGCGAGGGGTGAATAATTACATTGATTCCTTGCCAGGGGCGCGCTTGTTACCAATTCAAACAGAGAACGGTTTTTGTCTATAGCCAGCGCCTGTTGCAGTTGCATTTACCCCAACAGAAAAATCGCCTCTAACTAATTTTATTTATAATTCTTCAAATATTCACTTGACAAAAATCAAATGCTTTTTAATACTCTGGCAGAGGGTTACTTTAATTTTAGCTTTAAATATGTAACACGTCTGATTTTCCAGATTATATTTCTACATTATTGACCAACATCTGCATCGATATAGTCTTATCCGTAGGTCTGACCACATGCTGTTCAAATAGAATATACTTATATTTATGGCACCCAATAAGGCGCAACTCTTTTCCATTTCGGGGGAAATAGGATAAATGTATCCAAAAACAGAAATATGCCTAAGCTACAAAGCTTGGGTTATCTATTTCTTATATTCCTTGAGTTTTGCTTAAAAATGCATTTGTCAACATCAATATTTATCGATATTAGGAAAACGTGAGCAGATATCAATCCATGTATCTTAAATTGCATGTCTCTAGTTTCCGAGTTAAGGACAGGTTGGCAGACAGACTTGGCTAAATAGACATAGGTAGAATACCTTTTAAAACCTTTTACCATTTCATTAATTCAATGGATTCAGGCTATATAAATGGAACATTGAGTTACTTCATTTAGCGCTCATTGTGTGGCTGAGCATTGCAAATCCGCTGTTCAAATATCTGATAGTGTATTTAATATTCGCCAAATCGGATATAACTTTATTGTAGTTCTCATTGAATTTCAATGCATTCGTTACGCTTGCGACTCTCATATGAAAAGCCTGGGCTGGGATTTATGAGCGGTGCGCTATGCGTGAACCTGTTACAGTTAACCGTAGTTGGAGAGGGGTGGAGTTGGTTGCAATGGTGGTTTTTATTGGTGGTGTAGGTGGTCTAGCTGACAGTTTCCCATGACTGTGACAACGGCGGTCACAGAGTGCAGTTAAATCTTTTGGCTGTTTGGCATTTCGAGCTTGTTGCGCAATGTTTTACCTGATTTTATGAGGGTAGACAATTCATTTAATGGGCCTCTGTGCTTGGTACATGCTAATGAGTTGGCCAAGGAACACTCGTCACGCTGTTGATAGACATTGACTTTCATTCGAACTAACCATTATCTACTACGCCAAGCTGCCTCATAATAGTAAAAGTATCTGGAGACTAAATGGCATGTTCTGGTGGCGCCATCTATTGCTAGGTAGTTGTCAGAGTTGAGAAGCAACGCTGTTAAATTGTTTAAAAATCTATATAAAATTAAAAAAAAGCAAGATAGGAGAGACTTATTTAAACCGAATAAGAACAAATATTCAATTCTCAAACATTGATCCCCTTATAACATTCCGAATCGTACTAATTGAAATTGCAAATATTTAAAAGTCATAATTTGCTATTGATCTGATAACATTAAAAAAGCTAGAAAGCTAAAATATATATAAAAATTAATAGGGTTTTTTAAGTTTAAAAGTAAAAATTTGGAAAATATTCCAGAATCCAGCAGATCATATATGCTTAATATGGTATAGAGTCTTTAAGGTCGAGAAAAATGCTATCTAATGTTAATTATAATAATAGCATAGCCTGGCCAAGGCTATCGTAGAATGCGAATGGAATTAAGCAACTTGGACAACCCAATTTGTTAAAATGTATTTTTGAAGTTTTTATTATTGAACATTTGGTCAACCGAAAGATCTATTGAGACCTTGTTTTATATAAATTGGCTTGCAGTGTTTTTTGGATGGAATTTTTTATTGAAAACATTAAGCTAGTGATATATGAGGATGCCAGGCAAAACGCGAAGCAGACTTAAATGCAATTTAAATATTCAAGCAAAACATATAATATGTGTTTGGAGTTTAGCCTGAGTAGATCTTCAAGATAAACTTCCCGCTCAGAAATCCGAGTGATTTTCAAATAATGATAGATCACATTTAACTGGATGTGTAAACGTGTGTGTACTAATAATGCGAGTGCCAGGCTACACAAAATTTAATTTCGTTGGATGTTGTAAAGAAACCCATTAATCATAGAGTACCCTATGGGGGCCACACTCAGTTTAAGGTATACACAAGCTGATAAAGTCCCTGGTAAAAGTCAATGAACCGTGCGTCCAAAACAAATCTCTGGACTTTTTCGGCAACAGCTCGTCAATAGATC